TAAAGTATGCATATCTAATATACTTAAATAATTACAGAGGTTGTACCAGTTCAGACTTTATACTTCTGTGGGCTATTTTATATTGTTTGAAAGGGATAGATGGATCATATATTGTTTCAGGACTTTTATCAAATTCTTATGGCGTCAAAATTTTTAATATATTATCAGATATTGGTAAGGAATACATTAAAAATGTTAATTAAATATAAATGCATTTAAAAAAGATTAATGATAAAACATTGTATTTTGTTTTTAGGCATATCATTTAAGCAATTAGCACAACAGACATTACCTTTAGCTTCCTATTACTCCATGACAGTGAGATTTGTTGAGGAGAAAATCTCACCAGATGATGGGCTAGTTAATCATGCTCTAAGAGGAACGATACGATCTTTGCTGAAGGATTACTTGGTACATTAAATTATATTTTACAATTTGGTAACACAAATTTATATCATTGTTATATCATTATATGCATTGGTTATTTAAGTTTTTAAATGTATTTGAAACACATATATAATATATGTAATGTTATTACTGATGTTACTTGCTATTTTAGCTTTTTGTTCCACTCGAGACAGAACACATTCATGGTAAATCAAACTTGCAGAAACTGTGGTTTTACATTCAAGCTACTATGCTTACAATATCTATACTTTCGCAGATTACATCTACAATATGCAAGGTTAGTATAAAGCATTAATGGATACTAATGAATTCTGATTATATTATACTTAATTCTAAATACGCCCCAATAGGAAAGCATTTCTAAAACTATATGACGAAATCTTATAGGCAATTTATGTTTTGCAATTATGTAAATATATTTCAACTAATAGATGTAAAAATATTGATCTTTTATGCCATATTAATTATTGTTTGCGAAATGAAATACTAAATAGTATTTCGGCAAATCTATAACGATATGGCGAATCATCTTAGCAGTATATTTGCAAAGTAAAAGTGTAGAAAGAAATTGCTCACTAATTGAGAAAATATTTCAGCTATATATTGTTTAAAAATTACATAGGAAT